GGAGGTTGGATCCATAATGGCTACCAACAATTTGTTTTAATTATTCCGAACCACTTCCAAAAATATGCAACAATTTACTCCCGTTTATCATAAAATATGCATGAAAGCTGGACTATACATATATTTTAAAACTTTTGCACATTTCCAAATGGCAGCGAATTCTCTATATGCTTAGAACAGCGGAGTTGTAAAAGCTAATAAACTTGGATTGATTAACAAGTTTAGCATAAACGTCCCCCGATTTATTTATCAAAAAATGCAAGGCATCGATAATCCAACTGTTAAGTTGTTGATACAAATGACATACTGCTTGAAGGTGCTCACATCAAATCATCGTATCCTATCAAAATGAACATCTATATTCATGACAGAAATCTGTATTACTTAATTGAGATAAACGATAAGAATTTTAAATCTAGGGTGACTCTGGTTGGCGAATATCTCTATTAATTTTACGAGGCAGGACAATTGTCAGGTTCCTTCTACTACATCTAAAAGGTTTATTTCCTTTTTTAAGAGCTTCGTCGAACAGATATATTGTACCGTTTGATATTACCTATAGTTTATTTTGTGGGATTGAAGTTATTCTTTTGCACCATGAGTTGAATCGCGGTTTTGTTTCATTAGCTTAAGACAGCGAAGATTCAAGCTCTTTCGAGACTCATTCCTCCGTAGGCACTGCCGAATGCTACTTCCCTCGCAATCTTTTTCTTTGGACGTGATAAATTTGGCATTGTCAAAGTTTGTAGTGGTCATTTGCCTATCAGTGACCGGTTGCTTTCCATAGTGGAGTGATGCAATGCCAGATCTTCTGTTTGCTGGTTTTTTGCATTACTGTTAAGGTCTACTTGCCTTTCGTCAAAAGAATTTTGGTGGCAGTAACGTTCATAAAAGCCATAAGCATTGATATTGCATAAATCATTGTGGCGACGATAGCAAGACAGCGCCAATTGTTGGCGTTTTTCGACGATTACCTAATATTAGCAGACTGTGACGAATTTGTCGTTCTCAATGGCCGTCGGCACTCTGCCGCCGGAAATTTGGGCGGATTCTCAGTCTCCACGCTGTGCAGGCGTTGGTGGATGTCGACAGTCATCAAAGTTATAACCAGTCGTAGCCGCGCTGGCTTACAATGGCTGTGCCATCGTGTCCTCACCAGTTAGTTGTCAGTACGGTGAGCGTTCTCTCTTCCTACCATTGCTCATTGCTCTGATCCATCGTAGTTGCAAGACAGTTGTATGCGCTGTATTTTCGGCAGTTCAACCGACTGTTGCAAGAAAACAGGCAACGTGTGTTCGTTCATAGGAATGATTCCTTGTCAAGTGCAACCGTACTCCTGTGCGCTAATCCCCTGCTTCAAAACTGCATGCAATGCTACTGAACGAAAGCTGCCGGGCTTTCGCCTTCGTTTTCGAATAAGCAACTGATGAGTGAGTGAAAGCTGCTTGTGTCCAGCCGGAACGTTAAGTGACTATAGCCTGCTTTTTGCTTTCACCTCAGATACATGAGGGTTGGACAGAGTGGTAGTATCGCTGAAGTTGTCTTGCCCTCTAACCTTCATTCTTCTAGGTTGCTGTGTGTCATTGTGCGTCGTCTTTGATTTTCAGCTTTAATCCCCCGTGTCAAAACGCAATGCAAGCATGTTTTGATTCGTTTTTTACTTAAATTTGGAATAATCTTCCGAACGCGTCAACTTGGCATTGTCCTTCCTGTAAAATCGCCGTTTGACGACTGCCCAAAGTTTAGAGTGGTCTACCACCTCGGTCTAGATAAGTAATCCGTGACTGCTCCTGCTCAAACGCTGAATCGTAGTTCGGTCCCGTCATGTCGTGCGCGTCCGGTAGCGGTCGCTGCTCACTTGTCGTCGTCAAACGGACCAGCAGGCATTGCCTAAGGCTAGTTGTCAGAGTGTCATCATGCAACGACGTCTGTCACGCCGTGCAAACCTGTTTTCTACGATATCTTTTTATAAATGTCCACTGTTCGATCAAGAAACCAGTTTAAGAAGTATAATTCCGTTTCTATTAAGCTTTCGGCCAACTTCTGAGCCTGTAACCCTGCGAATCGATCGCTATTTTATTGTCGCTGTGGTTACGTCACGACGAAGGACGTGAGAACTTTGCGCGAGCGCCCCCGGCCGTGGAATTCTGCGACCTCGACCTGGCCAGCATCGGTCAGCTTCGACGTCAACGTCAGCAAAGGGCTGAACATTAACCTCGCCTTCAGCCGAAGCTACTGTCTCAAGCTCAAGTACAGCGTAGGCATCGGCGTACGGCCTCAGTGGACTTAAATGAAGAAGAATGTGATTCAAAGCAAATCCACCGACTGCGACGACGGCCATCGGCGCAAAGGC